TGGGGGGGGGGGGGGGGGGGGGGGTTATAATTAAATATCATCGCAACAGCCAGGGTGTACAGATTTCAGATTTTATGTTGAGTGTTTAACTGGGCTATTGTCGTTAAAGACTGTCCTAAAAGTTGTTGCATAACGGAGTACACACTGCGTTATAATGTTGATTTAATAACCAATGACGTGGAATCTTTTGGATAGCAAAAGGTGTTTAATAGGAGATTTTGTTTTTTACACAGTTTGAACAAGTTGAAGCTAAAACTTTGCCACTGGAAAGAGCATATTTACAAATAAAAGTTTGTTTTTCTTGTCTTAAATGTGTATATTTATGTGCATTTTTGGCCTAATTACTGCTTTGAGTATGTCGTTCTTCCAGTATATTGCCTTTTTTTGAGTCTGTATTCATTAGGGCTAAAACGATTAATGGAATGAATCGAATAATGGTCAACCAATTTAATAGTTAATTAATCATAAATTAGAGTGTACAGAGCCAAAGAAAGGCCATTTGCTTAAAAATCAACATATTGAGAGGAGCAAATAAACCAGAACTGTGTAATATATGTATATGTTTATACATTTAAGATAAAAACATCTTGTGTAAATATGTTTTATGCAAAACTCCTCTAATGAGATAGTTTCAGCTTTTTCCAGTTCAAATTCACTAAAGGACTGCTGTGTTACTTTGTTTTAGGTATTAAAATGTTTATTTTCTTATTTAAAAAATGAGTTGAACTATTTACTTATTTGCATGTTTTAATTATTTTCTGATATTGTGTAAAAAAAAAAAAGGTTTAAGTGGTAAATGAAAATTCTGTACAACCCTGTGCAGCCCTAGTATGCGTCAGTTAACAATCAAATTCTAAATCAGTTGAAAATTACTTCAATAATAAGTTAATCACAATTAATTTGATAAATCTGATTAATCATTTCAGCCCTTATTGTAATAAATCTACCTCTTTGAACCATTTTCCCAGAAAACTCCTTCTTGTCACCTCAGCTGTCTAAATTATTGCATCTTTTCTCACTGAACAGATCTGCAGACTTTGGACCTGCAGCTGTGGGACCCTCCACACCGGCAGGTCCTCCTGTTTTGACCAGAATGGCCCCTCCACTGCCTCCCCGCCCCATGCAGCAGTCCTACCGTCCATCCTACAGCTCTTTCACCTCCACCTACAGTCCCTATGGGAGCTCCATCTATGGCGGCTACAACCCCTACAGCTACGGCGGCGGCGGCTACGGCCTGGGAGGCTACAGCCGCTTCCCTCACGCAGAAGAAGTCGCCCCCAGCCGGTTCGTGCAGCAGGCGGAGGAGAGCAGCCGCGGCGCCTTCCAGTCGATCGAAAGCATCGTCCAGGCGTTCGCTTCAGTCAGCATGATGCTGGACGCCACCTTCTCAGCTGTCTACAACAGCTTCCGCGCTGTGCTGGACGTAGCCAACCACCTAACGAGGCTGCGCGCTCACCTCACAAGGGTTCTGTCGGCGTTCGCTTTGGTGCGAACGCTGCGTTACCTCTACAGACGGCTGAAGCGGCTGCTGGGGAGAGGGTCAGACGCAGACGTGGAGGACTTGTGGGCCGACAGCACGACCGACGCCCTGGCTACAGCTTCGTCCAGGGTGTTTGGAGCGGCAGCCGAGGAACAGAGCGTGAAGTCCTGGCCAATCTTCCTCTTCTTCGCTGTAGTTCTCGGTGGACCCTATCTCATCTGGAAACTGCTGAGCTCCACGGCCGGTTCTGAAGAAAGTGGTAAGACTCGCATCTGATTTATCTCTAAATTTAAAAATATCCAGCCTCACAGTGCTTGGTGTAGAGACTTGTTCTAGAAAACAAAATGAACTGAAGCCGCTGGAAGGGGCTTCTGTTGACGTGCAGAGTATCCATAAAATTTTCTCAAGTAAAAGTTAAAATGTATTTGGTAAAAGCCTTCTCAAGTACTCAGTAACTGATCAAATTATCTTTAGTATTTAAAAACTACATAATCAGATGGACCAAAATATAAATTTAAGTGAAAATTTTGGTATTTATAGGACAAAAAGGACAATAATTCATATAAATAAAAAGAAACAAAATCAGGCAGAAGAAAATTTTTCCAAATCTGTTTATTTCAATAAAAGAAACAGATTTCTGTTTGAACTAAATTCAGGTGAATTTTTGGTTAAAATGTGTCTCTAATGTTTGGTTTTGGATTTGACATGAGTTAAGAATGTTTGTAAATTATTGATAGTTTGGAGCCACTTACTGATGAGCTCAAAGGTGTTCAGCAGCACTTTGTACTTTGGCCTCACTTTTACTCAGGTTACAGATAGGTTTGTCCCAATAAACAACAAATCAATTAATCACATGATAAATTAAATGGAAATCAATAATTTCCATTTGTATGATTTATTGTTTCTCTTTTCTCTCTTTCTACCAAAAACTGCATGACAAAATCTGCAGTCTGGTGCTTCGATTTCATTATTTGCTACTTTGTGTTGATCTAAAATACACGGAAGTGCTTTTTTGTAGATTGTGTCATGAAAGCTTTTAAAAGTGTATTTTTGTTTTATTTATTTCTAATTTCGTTAATGAAGATGTTCTGCTTGTGTTTAGCCACCAACTGGGCCAGCGGAGAGGACGACCACGTCGTTGCCAGAGCAGAATACGATTTCACAGCTTCCTCAGAGGAGGAAGTTTCTCTGCGGGCCGGAGACATGCTTAACCTGGCTCCTAAAGGTGAGAACTCGTTAACATCTTTATGTAACGTGCTGAAGGAACATCTGCTCCTCCAAAATATGTAAAACACAGTATTATTTCTGCTGGCTGATGAAATAGAGAATATGTTTTCCTTGTAGTCAGTTGGTAGTTTCTGTGATGGAGAATTAGGACCAAGAAAATAAAAAATAAAATAAAATTACATGAGTAAAGTCGCAAGACTCTTAATATTATGAAAATAAAGTCTTAATATCAAGAGAATAAGCTTGTACGAGAATAAAGTCGTAGTATTACGTCCAAAAACTGGACTTTATTACTTTGTGACGTATTGCTAGAATAAATCACAATATTTTGTGAATAAATTCATAATTTTATGACTTTATTCTAAAATATTGACTTTATTCTTGAAATATTGTGACCTTGTTCTCGTAATTTTATCCAAGGGTAAAGTTATACGAGAATATTCTCGTGTGAATAAAATTCATATAATAGTAATATTATGACTATTTTTGTGATATTAAAAGTTTATTCTGGTAATATTATGACTTTATTCATGAAACATTGACTTTATCTCAAAATACTGACTATTCTAGAAGTACTACAACTTTTTTCTTGTATAACTTTACTCTCGTAGTATTATGACTAATTTTGCAATATTAACACTTTATTCTTGCAATATTATGACTTTAATCGCTTTATTGTCAAAATATTGACTATTGTTGAAATATTAAGAATTTATCCTTGTACGACTTGATTGTCGTAATTTTGTTTTTCTATGTTTTATTTTTTCTTATTACATCTTATTATGACGTATTAAGAGCTTGTTTAATGCGCCACAAGTTTCCAGTGTTAGTTTAACATCCTTGCTGTGTGTTTTCCTCCTCCTCGTTCAGAGCTACAGCCGCGGGTGCGTGGATGGCTGCTGGCCAGCGTGGACGGTCAGACCACGGGACTCGTCCCTGCCAACTACGTCAAGATCCTGGGGAAACGGAGAGGCCGAAAGCACGCCGAGACGGAGAGGCTCGCTGAGGTGAAGCAGCAGAGCGCCCAGACGGCCTCGCCTGCGCAGCTGCAGCCTGATGCAGCCCGAGGTTTCACCCCTGATCTCGCCGCGCCGTCCGACGCTGCGTCTGCAGAGCAGCTGCTGGAGTCTGCGTTCAGAGAAACTCCAGCTTCCTTCAGTCTGAGCACTTCAACCTCTGAGACGCCGTCCAACACTGTGCTGAACATCCCCGAAAAAAACGACCTCTGATGATGATGCCTTCGTGTGTAGAGGTTTATAATTAATTAGCTCGATCATTTCTTGTTTGCAGTCTTTAACTCTGGAAATAGACTAATACTTGACAGCAGCGGTATCTCAATGGACCTCATCAGAAATCTTCTAGAATACTTCTTGATTCAGATTATCAGTCTGAATTCAAGGTTACTGATGGAAAATAGTTTTTAAACAAATTCAAGGTTTTCGCTTCCCATTCAAAGCTTGCTTAATAAACTTTTGTGCAAGTTTGTTTTGTAAGGAGATGAGGTAAACTGGTATGTTGTCTTTTTTAAGGACGGAGGTGTTAAGAACGTGATCATGTTAAGTTTGGGCGCTCTTGGTTGACAGGCACCTGGTTTTCTGTTGTCTTCTGTCTGGAACATATGGGATTGTTGTCAGAGCTGGAGAGGTGCAAGCTGCAAATTTTCATCACTTTATTTGTCACAAAGTAATTTGTAAATATTTAATATAAATATTTTGAAAATAAATATTTCCAAAAACAGTTTTCTTCTTTTGTCACTGGTACATATGTAAATGTCAAATTACCATGACTCCTTCAACAAGATGGAGTCCACTGTACAACTACAACCCCAAAAGAGTCCCAGTTATAGTTTAAAAATTAAATTTAGAAGGAGAGGGTGGACCCAGACGTGTTTTTCACCAATATCCCTGAAAGGACTAAGATAATCTCTGATGCAGTTCCATTCATGGCCTAGAAACTCCTGAAATTCTGCTATGGCTTTTAATTTTAAAGTGCCATATCAGGATTATTAGAGTCCGCCATTTGGGCACCTCTAACAAGACTTCGTTTTATAAATGGCGTCAATTCAATTAAAAAATACCTTACTAATCACAAAGGGAAGTTAAATGTAACTGATATGAGTCATTTAATATTAAGAGTTTGAAAACTACAACGTCAAAACACAAGCACATTATTCCCCGCTTAGTTTTATATTAATTTGCACTTAGCTGATCTACCAATTGTTTGATTTTGTCCTTTCTGTTTGAAAGGTTTACGAAGTAGTTTACGACATATATACCGCATTTACGACCGTCGTCTCATGGTAACAGGACTCATGTTGCTGCAGTGCGACAACTGGGACGATTTTACAAACTAACGAGCTTTTAATGTGTATAAACAGTTTTATTTAGTCAGGTGTTTGGTTTGTGTTTAAACGGAATGGCATGTGAATACTACTTTATACCGTAAACGAGGACGTAAATTTAGCGAATGCCTTCGTTGATGGTTAGCGTTCATGCTAACTAGTGAAGGCTTGTGCTGCCTTCAGGGACTATCGAAAATTATGTTTTAGGGAATACGCTACACTTATTGACCTGATTTTTACAATTAAAAAGTGTAAGATAAAAAATGCTGTATTTTTTTGAGAAAGTACATTTGATTTCTATAGTACATTAAGTACATTTCACTTGTAAAAAAATAAAAAATCACAAACTGTTTTTCAAACAACGCATATAAGATAAATTAAACGGCGATAGAAGTACAAACAAATTACCAAAGATTTAAATAGTATATAAAACAATATAGAATATATTTAATATTTAAAGTACATACTAATATCAATTTTAAAACTGAAACCTGAGTTGAGTGAAAGTGAGATTCTTAAGTTCAAATTTCGGTGGTTACCTGAAGGCAGCAAACAGTCCGGTCCCGCAAAGTTAGCTAGCCTGGTAGTTAGCCATTGGACCGCAGCATCAGCACCATTATCATCACCACAATGGCAGAAAGGATTCCGCTGCTGCCTTGACTCTGCTGGAAGACGGTAAGCAGCAACCACGGCATCATTTTTCTGTACCAGTTTTTTCGTTTTTAATGTTTTTGTCGCATAAAAAATGAATTTGCTTTGACCCGAAGCGCCTGATGTATCAGAAGGAGTTACTGGAGGCTCGGCCTGCGGTAGCGCCACTTCTCACTGCGACGTCCCATCACACAATTAAAATGCATCATCAGCCACCTATGTGCACTTTCTCGACTTTCTTGCATTGCTTAAATTGGAAACTGATTGATGTATATCCGTAATGTTTTTGTGATTTAAACATAACATCAGTGAATATTAAAAAAAAAATCTAGATATTTTCCGCCTTTAAGTTGACACATATCCAGTACAATTAGGTGAAAAATATATAACATGTTTTAGATTTACTGTACTTCTGGAGTCTGGCAAGGTGGTTTTAAAACTTTAACTTCAAGTCAAAAGTGATCAATATTTGGAATTCAGGAAGTTTAACCTCACAGCATGCTTCTGCCACTACTATGTTTCACTGGGAGTTTGGTGTTCATTTGGCAATGCAGAGTTGTTTTGTAAAATTTAACCCCAAAACTCACTTTTTGGTTTCATCTAGAGCTATACAATAAATCGATTTTAACAATTCATTAAATGTGCTGTTTATGAAGACTTGGAGCCCTGCGACAGACTGGCGACCTGTCCAGGATGTACCCAGCCTCTCGCCCGGAACGTTAGCTGGAGATAGGCACCAGCACCCCTCCCGACCCCACTGAGGGACAAGGGTGTTCAGAAAATGGATGGATGGATGGATGAAGACTTGGAAAATGTAGATTTACAAAGAAAAAAGATAAAAATATCTAAACAAAAGAAGGCTTCGTGGATGCAGAGCAGAACCAAAGAGCAGAGAGGGAAGAAGAAAGTTCAAACCATTTCTTCCATCGATCATAATATCCTCAATTCCAACATCTCTCTGCCCAGCTTTCTAACCAGACAGCCAAACAAAGATTTAAAAAGGATCAGCAAAAGCAAATGAGGTGGATTAGCAGTGCTTGTCAACACCTGATTGTGTCATCCAGAACATTACTGTGGAATATTGTTTCTCCTGCCTTAAAATTGAGCTGCTAGCATGTCATACAGCAACAGTCTTCAGTCAGAGGCCTCTCCAGATTTATTGCGAGACTGACTGCTACTGGAGATCCTTCCTTCCCACACTTACGACAACACGTATGTTCTTTTAACATCCTGGTTGTCTCTGTGTCTTTCTACAATATATTTTATATTTGTTTAAATATACTTAATTCATTTTATTTATTTGGACTGCCGTCGAGAGTGTCTATTTTTTTAAAATTAGTTGTGCTTTCATGCACAATGACAATAAAGTAATTCTGATTCTGATATTTCCTTCTTGAAATTTTTTTGTGGATGCAATAAAATAATTTTCTAATGCAGTCAAAAAATACTAAATCTTCTATTTCAATTCAAACAAAAATGTTTAACTTCAAGGAAATCAGGCTTTTTCAACTCTTTTTGTAAAAGAGTAAAAAAGCAGCAACTGGCTGTTTCAACTAAATACAATATCTGTGTTGAAAAGATATAAAATAAATAAAAATTGATTGTAGCTTTATATAATCTAATCTCATTCTTAAAATGCAAACTCTGTAATTTTCTTTCAGAAAGTTCAGATCAGTTTTGTTCTTGTTGACTGAAAGCATCTTATTTGTTTGTTGACCGTCTGTCTGTGTAGAAATGAGTCGCTTCTGTTCGGACAACAATAATTTCCCCTACGACAACAATGTCCTGGTTCTGGACATGGTGCTGGGGTCTCTGTGGGGGGTTCCTCAGCCCATAAGCTGGGAGAATGTGGCCAAACTGGTGCCAGGCTTCACTCCTAAGGAGGTAACTGCAATGCTACTGGGTAACTATGAATGCCTCCATCATCCATCTCCTCTTCATTTTATCCACTGTGTCCATCTTCTGCTCCATGGTTTATCAACAATTAGAGTGAATGAGAGGAAATCAGCAGCTTTGATGTGGTTTCACAGTGTGCCAGTCGATTTGAGGAGCTGAAGGCCACGGCGGGGTTTCCCCAGGTGGATTATCAGTGCAATGACCTAACGGGAGGAACCAGCTCACCATCTGACAGCCTGTCTGCCCTGCTGGAGGCTGGAGATGTGGTCAAGAGAGAAGGAGGCAGTCAAAACTGCAGCAAAGTCACAGGTCAGTTAAGGCTGCCTCAAATATTCACAGATTCAGTTCTGTTGGTTTAGGCAAAAATTCACATTTGATTTAGACCAAATCTGAATCTGTGCAGGGCCTTAAAGGCCCTGAACATGCAAATTCACAATTTGCATGTTTTACCTTGAAAGTGCAGTGAAACGTTTACCAACCCTGGATAAATTACATTGACGTTTGCAGTTCTAACGAGACAAAATGTGAAAAATTTCAAGATGTTTTGCAGTATTTTTTTCTCCTGATGTCTGCAGGCTCTAAGTCGCTCCCGGCTGGAAGGGGAGGAACGGTGGAGAAGAAGGAGACGCGAGTCTCAGTGGAAGAGGATGAAAAACCCCAAAAACCACGGGAGTAAGTCCTATCTGTAGACCAGTCTCTCTAAAACTGGTGGTACGTGGTCGCCCCCTGGTGGTTAGCAAGGTACTGCATGTAAACGACCGTTTATTTGCCGTGACGTCAGCTCAAGGTGAGAAGCTACAGCTAGCTTACTGAGGATCGTGTTTAAAAACAATAACGGATACGTGGTTTAAAACCGGGTAACTTAAAAAAAAAACTGAAGATTCAAGTGGAAAGAAAGAAAACGTCAGGAACTTATGTGATCGGAGGAAGTTAAATCATGAGAGTAGTTAGTCGTTCACGAGCGATTCGATTCTTTTGAACTACTCTACTCCGTGAACGTTAGGACTCAAGACTCGGTTAATGAGAACTGTTCTTTTTTTCTTTGTTTTTTACGACTTTGCTTGCTTATAAGCACAGATATTGCTATTGTTATTTATTTAAAAGTAATTTAAGCAGTAAATAAATACAATTGATAGAAATGGGTGGATCATTTTTCATGCCAGAAGACGATTTTTGTTTCTGACAAAGCAACTCAAATTTATTTTTCTTATACTGTGCTTCTAAATTACAAAGTAGCCATAAGATTATGTTTATTTCCATAAACACTTTCAGAATATGTAAATAACTCAAAATTCCCTGAGTAAACTTGTTCGTGGTTTTGTCAAGGCCAGTCATATTTACAGAACGCCACCCTTCTCAATCATGCAATAAGTGAGTTAAGAGACTAATATTTTCATTTCAGGTTACCATGTTGTGTTATTGTGGGGCAATTTCAAATTAGGTGGTCCTGAAAAAGTTTGAGAAATACGACAGTACATGACACTTTGCTTAACGTTTTGTATTCCAAGCAATTAATATGACCCCTGTTCTCCAGTCTCAACATGGTGATCCACGTCTGTGATGAGACCAAGAACCTGAAGCAGGATTTTACCTGCCCCAGAGATCTTCTAGTCAAAGAGATGCGCTACTTTGCTGAGTATTTATCTGTGGACCAGCAGAGGTGGGAAGAGGTGGACATCTCGGTTCACTGCGACGTTCAGATCTTCGACTGGCTCATGAACTACGTCAGGAGGAACTCGGCAGGAGAGGGAAACAAGGACAAACCCCGGCTGGGTAAATTAGAAGCAAAAACACAGCAACATCTCACGTTTATTTTTATGCTTGCTCACCTTCTCCACCTGCTTGTTGTGAACCATGGGTGGTGTTTGGTTTGTGTGTTCGGTGTCTGTCGGTTTCAGAGCCCAGCAACGTCATCTCCATCCTGATCTCCTCTGAGTTCTTGAAGATGGATACGTTAGTAAGTGTTGTGGAGTTAATACAGCTCTGGAAAATTAAGAGGCCACTGCAAAATTATAATTTCTCTGATTTTACTGTATAAGTTTATTTTTGAGTAAAATTAACATTGTTCTCTATTGAACTACTGACAAAAATGTCTCTGAAATTCCAAGCAAAAATTTTATATTTATTTGCAGAAAATGAAAAATTGACAAAATAATGAAAAAGATGCAGTGCTTTCAGTCCTTAAATAATGTAAAGAAAACAGGTTCATATTAATTTAGAACAATAATACTAACGTTTTAACTCAGGAAGAATTAAAACTTTAGGTTTTCAATTTGTTCAGTGCAGTGATATCTTCATTCTTCCAGAGTTGGGTCGTAATTAGTTAGAATTACTTGAGTAATTTGTTGTAAAAAAATTACTTTCAGGAATATTTCTACTAAGGTGTACTTTTTACTTTTACTTGAGTAATTTTATTATGAAGTATCGCTGCTCTTACTTGAGTTAAATTTCTGGATACTCGACCTAATGTGAGTAACTTTACTGAGTGACCAAAAATGTTGTTAAAGTTTCATGTTTTAAATTGAAAGAAACTGATTTGGAAAACTGTTTATTTTGCTTGATTTTGTTATTTTCTAATCATGTTATTTATACATACGTTGGTCCATTAAATACCAAAATTTCCACTTAACTTTATATTTTGGTCCATCTGATGTTATTTATTTGACCGGTTACTCAGGACCTGAGTTGCCTTTTTTACTAAATACATTTTTTGCTTTTATTTGAGTAATTTCTTGATCGACTACTTTTCACTTTTACTTGAGTAAAATATGTTAAAGCAGTTTTACTCTTACTTGAGTACAATTTTTAGGTCCTCAACAAAACTCTGTCTATATTTTAGAGATGGGTATTTATTGTATCGTTTATCATTTATCATGATAAATGTCTTATGATAGAAATTTAGATTTATCGTCACTATATATTCCAAGTAATGCTGTCTAAAACCCTCCAAAACTATCCCTATTGTCAGGATTAATTTTTTTGGAGTTTAAAATCAGCCAAACGTCTACTTTTTTTAATTTCAAATAATGTTCAAACTACATTTCAATTCATTTTAGTGGAAAATTAAGCTACTACAATCAAACAAGTTATTTTTAAGGCTTCTTACACATTTTTACCATCAGTGACAGTCAGTGTAACAGGAGTTATGCTCCATAGAAGCAGCTTCAGACAGTTATTTATTATTGATTTGTTTGTCAAGCAGGTGAGAAATCTGCAGGAGTTTGAATATCTTTGTCTGTGTTCAGGTGGAGGAATGCATCCAGTACTGCCATAAACACATGAGCGCCATCGTTGCCACTCCCTGCAACATGAACTGCATCAACAGCAACTTGGCAACACGGATCGCCGAGCTCTTCAACCACAACGAGGCCGACGACATCCGCGACAAAAAAGATAAATTCAAGAGGTAGGAAGTTTAAAGCAGTCTGCGTGTCAACACGTGGCTAATTTAGAAGCTAACGCTGCTTTCTTCCTCTTCTTCTACGTGAAAGCAAACTGTTTCAGAAGAAAATCGAGCGGCTGTTTGATCCAAACCACCAGAACAAAGATTCACCAGGAAACGCCTCGACTCTCTACAGGTTGGTACAAACTCTTTTCTTCTGCAGTTCTTTTTCTTTGTTGTAGAGTTTCTGAAAATGTGCTGCCGTTTTGTTTCGTCTCCATAATGCAGATGCAGTTTGTGCCTCAAGCTGCTGACCAAAGACACGGAGAGGAAGATTTCCTGCGTTCCAGGGAAAATCAACGTTGACGTCCGAGGACAGATCATCTATACGCACACAAGGTACATAAATGTAAACAAATAAATAAATGTAACAAAGGCTAGAGATTTTAATTATTAATCACTTATTACTAAAGTAACTTCAGACCGCTGAACTCAGGCTGCACCTAATTCAGGTTCACTTCAATTGTTAAATTATTTACAAACAAACTGTTTTATATATATATATATATATATATATATATATATATATATATATATATATATATATATATATATATATATGTTATTTAATGTGTTATTAACGTTGTTTGGGTTCACAGACAGAAGAGCTGGGATGTGCATGAATACACCACAGCTTTATATGAGGAGCTCAAGTCCTGGGTTCTCGTTTACTGGAGAATCTGGGGAACCATCAACTACCTCACCTGCTCCCGCTGTCAGCAGGTCAGAGTGTCCTGACTCAACCCCAGAGTCGGGAAAAAACAATAATTAGTGGGAATGATTATTATGTTTGGAATTTAGGTTGAAAGGAGTTGGAACCCTCCTTCCAACCTTAACTCCAACTATCATTTTTCTATCTTTTTCTGCAATTTTCACTAAAACCATTGAGCTTGCAGAATTCACGCTGCATTTTTGCAGGAAATGCTTATTTTTCTAATAGTTTTCTGTGATGAGATATACTCTAAAACCCGTCTGTGTGTTTGGTGCAGGTGTTCGTTTGTGCAGAGCTGACCCAATGCAAATACCACCCAGACAGCGTGTTGTACCCCGGCATGGGCGCAGAGAAAGGTTGGCATGGGGCAGGAATATACCCCTGCTGCAACCAGAGGGTTCTCCGCTTTGACCCCACTGGGATACCAAAGGTTTCCAATTTAAGATATTTTCACTAAAAACCAGACCGAAAATACTTGGTAATATTTTGTGTTTTTGCAGTGTGTATATAGAAGGCGAAACATCTGTTCCTCCATTTCTCAACATATGGGAATCAATTTATATACAACAAAAATGACAAACAGTTTTTTGTCGAAACTTTCTAAGAAAGAAATCAGGCTGACTGGATAAGGTTTGTGTGTAACAGACTAAAAAACTCATGTGTGTAAAGGTGGGCCCTGCAAAGCATAAATGTTAGAAACGGGCCTCACATGTGACTGCAAAACTGAAATGTAAAATAAAGTTTCAAATTGTGTTTATTGAAGGTGATCTTTAGTATCAAGATTTTTGGGGGAACTTGCCTGATTTTTTCCATAGATCTAGGATGTCTAGAAAGGGTGGGCCCCTCAACTCACTAAGCTACTTTCAGGCCCCCTGAAGGATATTAACAAGGATGTGTGTGTGTGTGTGTCTGTTCAGGGTTGTAAGACGCGGGATCACATCGTGAACGTACAGGATGAGGAGAAATACGACGAGGTGACGGCAGCTCAGACCAGAGTCCTTAATGACCTACTGCTGCACAGAGATGCTGTGTGCTTGTCCAACGCATCGCCGGCAGAGAGGTCAGTGTAAAGGTCATCGCCATGACGATTTCTGCCTGATTTCTGATAAAAGTTAAACATCCTGCTTGTGCTCGTCAGCTCTGAGGAGAGTCCGCCCGGAGCAGAGAAAGTCCCAGACTGCAAAGCTCTCCTAGAGCCGACACTCCTCGGACCTCTGAGAGGAGACGGCAGCTCTGTTTGTCTCTTTAAAATCAATTTTAATTTGTTTTTCTACAGATTCTTGTTTAATTTCCTTTGTGTTTCTCACTCAGTTTTCCCTTTTCAAGAACTGGACTCTTCAGCTGGTAGGAGGCCTCGTCGTTTTCAGTGATTCTGGCGATGGTTGTTGTGTCAGAAACTAAAACTCTGCTCTTCCAGAGGCAGCAGTCTCTCCTGTCAGAGGACGAGGAGTACACCACGGGGTCAGAGGTCACCGAAGACGAGGTCGGGGACGAAGAAGAGCTGTCGAAGAAACAAGGTGAGAGTCTGGCAGAAAAGTCAGATTGTGATGCTTAATCTGGTAGCAAAATAATTTTTGTTCCACCCACAAACTGCTGCTTTGGAAAAGCTTTGTTAAAAATAACAAGTAAGCTCATTTATGTCATTTCACTAAAACTTTCTGCTCTGGTCAGAATCACCAGATGTGTAAAAAATACAAATATATTTTCGTACTTTTGCTAGAAAATTTCTGAGATTAATCTGAAATTTTTTTAGACTTTTCTAGCAAATATTTGACTTTTTGAACCTAGAAGTTTTCGAGTTTTTTCTAGAAAATTTCTGAGGTTAGTTTGAAAATTTCAGAGATTTGTTTTAACATATTTTCGCTTTTCAATCTTAAATTTGAAATGAATCTCAAAACTACATAATTTTTTCTAGCAGATTTTTAACTTTTCAAACTCTGAAATTTCAAAGCTTTTTCAAGAAAATTTCTGAAATTAATCTCAAGATTTCAGATTTTTTTTCTACCAAATTTTCAGTATATCAAACTCAGAAATTTCCACGTTTTTTTCTAGAAAATTTCTGAGATTAATTAATCTAAAAAAATTTTTTTTAAATGTACTCCTCCCTTTTTCTTTCTTTAGCCCTAATTTAGCACTGAAACTGGAAGATATTTTAAATGTCCAAAATAAAACACAACCAAAAACAGCTAAATAAAACTGAAATATAAATATATAAATTATGATGTCTCTGTAAACAAAATAAACAAAATCGCCTTTCAAAAAATATCGATCATCAGAATAGAAAGTGTCATTTAATCCATCATACAACTCTAACTTTGATGAAAGGTGTTTTTTTACTTCTTCTAAATCTCCTGTTTTATTATTCAGTTCCTGTTTTCAGCCGGCAGGTGGCGCCTGATGCCACCTTCTGTTTATTCCTCTCTTTTCTGGTTTTTCTGTTTCCAGCTGCTAAGAAGGCGAAGAAGCCCCACAGACCTCTGAAGAAACAGCTTTCCTCTCCGAACTTCCAACGCAAAGACAAATCTGAGAAGGTCAGTCGCTGATTTCATGGATTTATCTCTACTTCTCCTTTATGGATCATTTCCAACTAACTGTTCATCATGGTGCTTGAAATCCCTGAATTTGAACCAGTTGTTTCCAAGGTTTTGTAATAAACTGCAATCTAACGTTTGATTTAAAGCTTAAATCTAGTAAATGTTGTTTACAGTTGGAACCAGATATTTTCATACATCTAATAAAAAAAATGTTTGAAGTTAAGTCAGACTAAACTTTTATTGTTTTGGATCAGTTAGAATTACCAAAATTATTTGTATTTTCTAAAAGCCGGTTAACTTTGTGAGAACATTTTTTGGAGTTTTTTAATTTTCTTTGTATATTTTGTTTTTAACATTTAATTTGAGCAGGAAGGTCATTTACTTAACACAATGTGTTTGGATTATTTTAATGTAATAAATATTTATTATTCTTAATTTCTCAATTACTTTTTGTCAATTTTATATTTTACACTTTAAACAACGTTATTGCTTTTTTTTTGTTAAATTAATGTTTTCTCAGAAGTGAGAGATTTAAAATCATAAAATTTTTTTATATTTTAGTGAATCTGTAGAATGTAAAATATTATCCCAAAACAATATTAGTAACTAGAGGGGAACATTTATTGTATTGTTAATCATTTATTGTGATACTTTTTTCCATAAGAAGAATTTTGATTTATCCTTGCCACGTTTAAAATATCCTAAAACTGTTTGTCTTGTTGGAATTACTATTACTATTTCCTCCACTGTTTGTTCAATAAATGTAAATATCAATAAATGTAAAAAAAAATGTGACTAAATATTAGTTACTGTGGTCAGCTTAGTGATACAAATCTCACTTTTTAATGTTAAAGAAACTGAAAATTGTTTTTCCAAGAGCAGCATTTGTGTTTGTGGGGCTATGACTGCAGTTATCTAAAAAAATGAATAATAAAAACTATTTATTTTCACTTTTATAGTGCCACAAAATATCATAGTAGAACTTTAACTCCATATCCTCCACCCCATGTTTAACAGTAATAAATTATATCATATAATAGTGAATTTAAACTGTCTTTTTACTTCATTTAACTCCAAAAAAGTTTGAAAACTTACCTTAAAAGTGCTTAAATTTTACCCCAAACTAAAACTTTATGAGCTGTTTCTCATATTTTACTCTAAGCTGTGTTTGTTTTTTTCCTTAGCCACAGTCCAGAGACAGCACACCTTTCACGTAAGCCTCACCTGAACACCAAACACCTTTCTATGCAGAAGCTAAGCTAACCAGTGTGTGTGTGTGTGTGTGTTGCAGCGTGAGCCTCCAGAAGAGTAAGTGGGACAGTTCTCGCTCGCTGCGCTACAACCAGGACGCTCAGAGAGAGGAAGGTAAAGCATCAAATGCTGCTGACCCGGCGAGGTGAACAGCATCAAACCGGGTTTGTTCTGTTCGTTTCAGACCAGCGGCGCATGGCGGAGATCGTCGGCCACCTGACCCAGATAAGGTTCGGAGACCAGGAGCCGAGCAAATCCAAGGACACCAAAGAGGTGAGAGAGTCTGCACTGCAAAAACACAAACTCCTAAGTAATATTTCTGTTCCAGTTTCTACTGAAAATATTTTAGTACAATTAAAATAAGACACAAGTAACTTTTCAGCTTTTTTCCAAGTCAAAAATTCATTAATATTGATTAAAAAAGTGAAATAATCAGACAGTAGAACAAAATATTTTCCAACGTTATAAATTAAAATCAGTGAGATTATTTCCCTTATTTTAGTAGTACTTTTTAAATCAATATTATGACATTATTTACCCAAAACAAGCTGAAAAGTCACTTGTAAGTTAGTTTTGTCTTATTTCAAGTTTACTGTGATATTTCCTGCAGGAACGAGACCAAAACACTCAGTAAGGTTTTGCTTCTGCCGTGAACAGAGACGAGTCGGTTCCTCTTGCTCAGGCGTCTGCAGTCTCTCTTACCTCAGTAGAACAAAATAAAACTCGACCAGAGCCAGAAATGTTACATGACTTTTTGGAAAAACTTTTTATAATTTTTGATCGTTTACTATTTTGTTTTCTAATTTTTAAAATAAAACATAAAAATCTTGCAAAAATGAAACGAAAGAATGGATAAATTTTGTTTTATGAGATGGTGATTTGTAAAAAATGGTGTAACAGAAGCAGATAGGCAGTGAGGCTGAAATGATTAATCATTAATCATGATTATTCGATTATTAAAATAATCATCAACTAATTTAATAATCACTTAAATCTTAAATAGAGTAGGGTTTCAAAAGAACAACGTAGTCAGAGCAGTAACTAATCCAAAATTGTATAAGAAAAAATATATATTGCATTTAATATTAAAAAAAACTTCATTTGTTGCATTTTAGGTAATAAAATGTTTATTTTCTTATTTGAAAATGGATCGAATTTATTATTTTTGCATATTTTAATACATTTCTAATGTATAAAATGTCATGTCAATTAATCATCAGAATAATCAACAGATTAATCAATTACTAAACATTATCAGCATTGATTTGTTTAGCCTGTCGTCTTGTCACATTTAAAGAAAATATAACATAAAATGATGTTATTCATACATTAATAAATGTCACAATTTCAGAACAAAATATTAGAAAATAAAACAAAACCTTATGACAAGAAAAATAGATCTAAATAATATCGCTGACTCTTTTAGTGTCGTTCTAAATTTAGCTCAGTTATTCCAGGAAACGGTTTGAAAACGGCTGAAAATGGCTTTTACAATCATCCGTTCGTTCTTCACGATTTTTAGCAAAGCTTGGAGTTGCAGCCTCCTGCTCCATCTGAACTGGTGTTGGGTTGTTTTTAAACTGGTTTCTGTTTCTGCTGGTCCAGCCGGCTGGTGGGATCTACGCTCGGCTGGAGCTGCAGTTCAGAGGCGGCGCTCCGACCAGACCGACGGCAGAGAAAGCCCCCAGGTACGTTTGTTTTAAAGATTTTACTTTTACTAAGAAAAAGAAAATTGAATCTACTGTATGAAATGTCAAGCATGGCAGTGGGAGCATCATGCTGTGGGGTTGCTTAGCTGCTCCACAGTAGATTATAGAGACATAAACTCCATTAATATTGGGTACATTTCTCTAATCTAGTCTAATTTTCTGTCGTAATTCTGCCTGGATTTTTTTACGTTTCTTCTTGGATTAATTGTAGTTTGTAATCAAATAATCAATTATTCTGATGATTAATCGAATAATCTTCAGCAGCTACTTAAACTGGTAAGGAATTATGAAAAGATTCAGTTTCTTTGTTTAGATAAGAAAACATTTTGGTGCTTAAAATGGAAAATTATTCAAACATCACTTTTAGTTTAAAGTTCTAAATACGGAAAAGCAGACTATTAGAAATGTAAAAGCAAACTTAAATGGAGGCAATTGTAAATACTCATCAGGTTTTATGTATAAAAAATCTCTATAAAATAGATATTTATAATCTATTGATTGATCAGCTAGTACATGAAATGTTAGCTAAGTTGTATTTCTTCATAGATATACAACATGACAGATTCTGTACTATCAATTGTTAAAGGGAAGGAAAATATTAGAAATACGTTAAAAGATATACAAATAATATAAAAAATTTTAAATAAGAAAATAAACATTTTATTGCCTAAAATGCAATAACTCAGCATTCCTTTTGTGTATGTCAACCAGGTGACGCTAAAACGTCGTTACACACAAACGTTTTTTTATTCTAAATGCAAAATGTATTTATTTTTGTCCCATTTTGGCTTAATTTCCTCTCTGAATATGCTGTTTTTTTTCAGCAAATTTCCTTTTTTTTTTTTTGAGTCTATATATTCCAGTTAGCGATTAATCGATTGCTAAATTAGTAGACGACGATTTCAGTCATTGATTAATCATGATTATTCCGATTAATCGTTTCAGCCCTAATCTGAGATTCATCTTCTCTTCTGTGTTGTTCCACAGATCCAAGTCGCGTTACGCTCAGCTCCGAACTACTTAACAATGCCGAAGCGATGAAAGATTGACCGAAACCCTGAAGATGAGGAACCGTCTCTAGACAAGGGACAGCCAGGTGTGGACTTCCTCCTCTCTGCCGTCTCTGTTCATGTGGACCTCCATCGGCCGCGCTGCGTGTTTGTGCAGCTGTGGCCGTTCCTCAATAAACAAGGCGAACCCCCATTGCTGCTTCATGCATGCAGCAGGACCTCACAAACACCAGAAAACGTCGGCCATGTTGTTTATCTGGGAGGTGGAGAGTCCCACGTTTTCCTCCTTACTGGATCTGATTTGTAATTTCTCCAAGTTCTGGTCAAAATGCTTTCATCTGTAACTGTATTCAACTAATAACACATCTACAAACACTAAAAAAAATTAACAAGTTGTCTTTTGTCCACTAGGTGGCAGCATATAACCTTGGCAGAGGTTTTAAGCGATCAACTTTGCCCCAGTTTTACCCAGAACAAGTCACCTTTAGTCCCAACGCTTGGGCAGGTGATGCCAACAATGTGACCAAAGGCTTTTACTTCCTGGTGTGGATGAAGCGTCCAATCAGCTGCCAGCACCTTCTTGTTTAGGTCAGAGAGCTGGTTCGCTGCACTGGGTGGAGGGTCAGGCCGGAGAGGTTCTGGTCGGTATTAATAACCCAGCTGCACACCAGGGCATAAGGGGACATGAAGAGGCAGGGTGGGCTGGGTTCTTCTCCCAACCCCTCTCTTGGTGGGTGGATAGGTGGGTGGGGGCTAACCCAGCTGTCCCTTCTTCTCCTCGACAGCGGATGCCGAGAATGGCAGAGGATCTGTGGATGTGGGTCAGGGGGTCCGGTTACAGCAGGACTGAGTTATGGGCCCACAGAGAGGCCTGGACGTAAGCACATCAAAGAAAACCATGGGGGAATAAGTCCCCAAAACAAACTCAAATGTAGATTTAAGAGCGTAATCTGAAACGATTAATCGCGATTAATCAATAATTGTCAGCTAATTTAGTAACCGATTAATTGTTAACTGGAGCATACAGACTAAAAAAAAAAGCAATTTGCTGAAAGAACAACATATCCAGAGCTGTAATAAAGCCAAAACGGTACAAATTATTTTTAAACCTCTGGAATCTTACCTTTTTGATACCAGATAAATTAAGGCTGAAATGATTAATCATGATTAATCGATTATTAAAATAATCGTTAACTATTTTAGTGAACTGTTAATCATTAACTGAAGTGCACAGACTCAAAAAAGGCAACTTTTTGAGCTGAAATTAAGCCAAAACTGTACAAAAATATATACACATTATATTTAAGATAGAAGAAAAAACTCTGTTGTACTATAAAAACTCCTCAAGTGGTCTAGTTTAGTTTCACCCGGTTCAGATTTGTTAACAAAATCTATTAAGGCCTTTTGCTAATCCAAAAAATAATCCACAGATATTAAAAAATCAAACGGAAATGCCTGAAAACTTTTATCATGTTGATGTTAGGAGTATTTCTTTTAACAGTATACTCTAAAGCAGGGGTGTCAAACG